CACAATTTCATACTAAATTTAAAAACTATAATTAGTATTTATTCATATATTATATTTTAAAATCAAAGAACTACTAATCAGGATATAATTAAAGAAATAAGAGTTCATGTTGCTTTTAAAATATTTCACCAATTTCTCTAAAGGAAACACTATCTACAGATTTGCATCGAAGCGTTTCTTATGATAGTGATTTTAATCACTGTCAGATATCATCTATACTTGTCCCATCTATGCCTCGTCCACACTGTGCCTCGACCCCACTGTGCTACCGTTTTTTTTTAAATTATTTTATTTTAATAATAAATTTAACGAAACTTCATATTTTTATTACATAGTACAAATTTATTGTAAACTTTTCTTATTAGGACACATTGGGTCACTGCAATACCGTCTTGATAAAATTTTTACACAGATAAATATTTTTGAATCTTGTTTTGACCAGGCCAGAGGAAGATTTAAAAAATATAAGTGTCGATCTCTCAATAAAATATACTCTCTCAAAAAAAAAAAAAAAACTTATTTAACAAAGGTAAAAAAATTAATTAAGGACAAATTAAAAAATTGTATTTCTAATAAAAATATAGGATTAGTATTTTTTACAAAAAAAAAAAATCAGTCATAAATTTTGTGTAGTTTAATCGTATTATTCTAAATTTGAATCGTTTTCTATTTTCAATAATTATATTGACTATATGACGGATAGTGTGAACCGTATACGTATGCATTTAATACCAGAATCAACGTTGGATTACTTAAAATATTATTGCGTGACTTAGGACATAAGTACAATTTTATCTATGTTTTCGAACCTCGAACAATCTTTTGCGTAATAAATTATTAAGAAGAATTATATAGTTTTAAGGGATATTTAACATCATTTATTCGATACCATTGAACCCCGAAATACCGTTAATTATCCATTCCGCGATTTTATTCTTTCTATGCATTCTTTTCATTAATAACTATAACTATTATAACCATCCATACCCTATCATTATTATATTCTATAAACATTACTTAATTTCCTTTTTTTTCTTTTTGGTTTATTACTCAATAGGTTCAAGGAAAATCAAAAATTATGTAAAGATGAAAAATCTCAAAAACCAGTCTTTTCAACTATGCTCTAATTTTATGTCATATCGATAATTGTTTGTCTTATACAAGTGCTATAGCGATAGAAATAATATCGGGTTAATCTTTACCAATAATTTTTCCTTTATAAAATATCCTCGATTTATATTAGATTTGTAGAAATATTACTGTGTGTATAAGTGTCTTCAGTAGAATTACTATCGTCAACAAGTAATTAATACTCAAAGTACTCTAAGATAGATTGACAGGTAAGAAATTTAGATGCATAAGCTCACGCTTTTAACCTCATATTTCTAATTTTATACAGACCTTAGGGTAACCAATCCCGACATAACCAATCATACCCTAAGACCCTAAATTTAACCAACCTTTTACCATATATCCCTCTTTTTGTAGTTACTATACAACAGTGTCAAATATCACACAACTCTTTCATAATATAATTAAAACATCTATAATCTGAGAAACTTGATGTGATAGAACAAATCTGAAACCAGAAATGGAATCGGCAGCAAAATTATATATAAGATTCATTTAAATATATATATTTTTGTCCTGTATTATGAATAAAGTGCAATAGATATAAAATATAATAATTAATATTTTCTCTCTATAACACTTATTAAAATAGCATTTAAAAATAATTCTTAATTTATTATAAAATCACTAGTTTCAAAGTTTAATAGTCATACGATTCCTCTAGAATCAAATAACTTTTTATTAATATTGTAATACTAGTATGATTTTTTTTTAAGTATTGCAAGTTTTTTTGTGTTTTATAACATTTACTCGTTTAAATAAAACTCAATATAATTAAGCATCATTGGCAAACTTTATGTTTTTGTTATTCAATAAAAAACTTTAGTAATTAATCATAAATATACTTGCTGACTAAAAACTGAATAAATGTGATGTTAAAGGTCAATTTTGCAGGTATACCGTATAATTGGCGAATGGTGAACGCAATGGAAATTGTATCCATTGTCATGTCCGCGGTCTGTCCACATCACTGGAATAGTCGATAAAGCTTTGTATTGTGTCGGATATTTGTCCTTCATAAGTTCACACACGTAAAACCCATCAACGGTTTCACTTTCCCCGCCGGCGTTTTCCGGTTGAACTATGCAATGTAATAATATAACCTGCAAATATTCAATTGTGAAAAATAGCTACTACTACAGAAAAAATTACAAAACCTTTTACATTTACACTCGGGTAATTAAATGAAATTTTCATAATTTTTATAAAAACTTTACTAAGATATGCTTAAAAATACATGATAATTAAATTTTTCATTTATTATTTTTTGTTACTTAATTAAAGGTTCATATTGAGGGTTATAGAAGAGCTTAGACATTCCACAAAATAAGATGAATTGTTAAAACAGTAAACAAAATTTTATAATAAGATTTATATTTAGCTGTTCCAATAACGATTTGAAAGTTGCCTATTTAAACTTATCAATACAATATTGTTGTATAAAATAATTGACTAAAAAATAAATAAATTTAAAATAAAATGGATCTAATTAAATTATGATTGAATAAAAACAAAATTTTTATTTATTAAATTAATTTAATCACCAATAGTTTTTTGTAATAAATACAACTCAAATATTAAATATCGACAAAACTTATGTTTTATCCATTACAATGAATAATCAACTCTGTATTAGTTTTGTTATTTGGCCAAGCGTAAGTAATAAACATAATCTAAGAAACTTTAGCTCCATTTATACCATTTTACTATTTTTATTATATATGAACCGTACTTACTCCTGGCGCAAATTCGTAATATGGTAAATCTGTGTGAAGTTGTAAATAAGAAGACCTATATGCCAAATTGGTTGCATCCGTGTTCACTTCAACCCTAAATGTTTCTCTATAAAAATATGAAATTGTGAATTCTCAAATGTTTATGCATTAATTATATATTTTTCACTTGATATTGAGAAAGATAATTTAATCTATTTAATTTATATTTTTTTAGAGAATTTAAAAAAAAAAAAAAACTGTAGCACAGTGTTGACGTGACATAGATGAGACAAGTATAGATGACATTTGACAGTGATGAAATCACTTTCATAAGTAACGCTTTGATGAAAATCTGTAGACAGTGTTTAATTTTAAGAAATTTGTGCATAATTACAAATACAACATAAACTCCTATTTCTATAATTATATCCTGATTAGTAGTTATTATATTTAAGTATAATAAACAAATGACATATGAATAAATATTTATTATAGCAATTAAATATATTATCAAATTGATTTTTAATAATTTAGTATTATAAAAATTATAAAGTGGTTATTACTTTTATGGCAAACATATATAAAATGTGAAGGATATTATGTGCAGTATATTAGCATAAATAATTCTTTAAACACAGACTTACATAGAAATGATTTATTACGATATAAATACGAAAAATATGATAAGTGGTTTTAACGAAATTTTGGGTTTTTTTCATAAATTTACTTTAAATAGTAATTATTTAAGTAGCCGACTATATATCAGTCCAAACAAAACAATTTTTTTAATCTTCATAAAATTTTGTATTTAATGATATCAATTTTAAACTTGTAAGTTTAACCAAAAAAAGGTTAAAAATCCAATATTTTGAATTAGGAACTTTCATAAATATCAACTTTAAAGTACCAAAAAAATAGGTTAAACATGATATTTTGAATCGAAATGTTTCACGGATAGTTTGTCAAAAAAAGAGGCGATGGAAAAAATCTAATTGTAGTTATTCAATCCAAATGAGATAAAAATCAAACGAATTTTGAATTTGTTTTCTACCTCTAAAAAATTAAGAAAATAATGCAAAAAAGAAGCCATTGACAGATAGATTGAACGTCGTATCCCGAGAGTGAGACACCAACTCGACAAGCGTACACCAAACTCGTATGTGGATAAAAAGGACAATTTAAACTATTTCGAAAATTCAAAGTCGTTTCTTTTGACGTAGCAGGCAAAGTAAGTTTAAATTATATTAAATTAAAGTTAGATTCATGCAACTTTTATAAAATTCGGTGGACTTATTACTATGGTAAACCCTTGTAAGGTATTTTAATATAAAAAAGTTATTGAATTATAAAATCGAAAATGTTCATCAAAATCAGTCCAGTGAGAACTAAGAATAAGTGGTACAGAAACAAAAAAAAAACACATAGTAATATAAATATTTTATTAGCGCCGCATCGAAGCTAATAAATATATTAGCTTTAAAAACGATAAAACATAAACTTAATCTTGTATATTGGTCAATAATTATTTGGAAAATATATTTTAATTAATAAGTGTTATCAACTAATGTAATATTATGTTTCATAATGTATGGGTCTATAAATATTTAATAGTTACCAATGCTAAAGCCAATTTGTATCATAATATTGCTATTTTTGTGTATTCCAAAAAAATAAAAATATATGTTATACGCCCATTTACTGACTAGTGACATAAGTTACTATCATTTTTTATTCAAAAAATAAAATTGACACCTTTATAAAATATATGGGATAAATTAAAAAAAAACTTAATTGATAAATTGAGAAATATATGAAACTTAAAAATACAAACAATAATTTTCTTAGAAGAAATAATGCTAAAAAATAATTAATAGTTGTTAAACATATATGTAACTAAAATAACCTATGCATTATTTTTCAATATTTTATTTATTAGATTTGTATTCCTGTTCTAATTTAACAAGAAATAATACTAACGTGTTTTCTTGAAATGTGTAAATGGACTCCCAGAAGAATATACTATTCAAAATTCTTTTTTATTGGATATTTTAATGGTACCTTCTTTTGTTAGTATAAGGATTGTGATTTATTATTCACTATAATATGAATATTGAATAAAAAAATATTAAAAAAAAAAAAAAAATTGAGTAGTTTTAAAACAAATTAAACGTTTGATGATTTTACTTGTAAATGAAAAAAAAAAATTATTGGTATTTTCAACATCTAAACATATACTAAATTATTATATTATTATATATTGTGTAATAAAATAGTTTTGTAAATATTGATATTAAATAAATATTGTACGCAATCCCATCAAGAGTATTATATCACATCAAGTATAGCAAATACCTAAAACCCTGTATGACCTATGATCTTCATTGTGTGTGATGCAATAAAGCAAGCTTTGTTGGATTTAATAGCTATTTATCACAATTTGGTTTTTTAACGTTATCGTGACGTAGATCGTAGACAGGAGAAAATATATTTTACGCATATATTTTAAATTTAATGGTAAATCGAATAATAAAATATAAAAGGATCGACGACGATGGAATATTTTTCATAACTTTTTCGCCAATACATATTTTGGTCGATTTTATTGTATTACTTTTTTTTGTTTTTTTTCTAGTATCACACCGTAATAATGAATATGTTTACTTATTATATTAAGTTCTATTGATTATTTGAAAATTTCATTGCATACTCATACGGTTTTTAATATTACAATATACCTATTTCAGCACTTTATTTTATCCACTTAAACAAAGTTTACTTTGCGTATTACATATCAGTAACGGATTTTTGGAGTGGGGTGATCCTCAGAACCTTCAAGCCCCCAATATTCGTAAATTCTATTTTATTATTTTTCATATCAACTTTAAATTTATAACAATAATTTGTAGAACTTTCAATAGTGAAACCTAATATTTTAATCATAAATTTGCATTTTTTAGTTGAATTTATTTAATTTAGAAGTGGTGTAATATTCATAATGATATATGTGTACCCAAATTAATCAATTGACTAAAAAATGATCAATTGTTATCAACATACAAAAATGTTCGTTTTAAGCAATTTAACCAAAGTATTTTTTATTTTAAATATAAAACAATCAAAAATTATTTATCAAATTAAAATTTACACTGAAATAGACAAAAAGTGTTTAGTAAGTTAGGTGAAATCGTATAATAATTTAAAAATATTTCAAGTACTCCTTTTGAGGTAAAATACATTTGAATAATTTAGCAATTACTTACCCATAATGAGTTCTTTTTAAAAATCCTACTCTTTCCGCTAATTCCTTAACACGGTTCTCAGCCAACCCACAGTCTTTAATTATGGCGATGCCGTATGTTGCTAATGAGTCTAACCATGTTAACAATGTATCGTCTCTGTTGAAAAACGTCTCAGAATTAATACAAGAATATAAAAATATAATCTGATAATATATACATTTATAAATGTTGTTTTTACAAGTATGAAACAAAATTATAAAATTTATCCATTTTAGTCATAATCAAGTAAATTTATCTTTCAATCTTAGATTGTGTACTTGAAAGATACCTATAATTTTAATAATTTAAGCTGTTTTCTTTTCTATTACTAATGGATATACTAATGTTCAAAAAAAAAAAAACTTAAATAATATTTTAGAAATAATTTACACGTTTGTTGGTAAATTTAGTATAAGTAGATGTTTATAAGTTGTACAACTGTAAACATATCATTAAAATTTCATATTAAAAAAGTTATTTTTTGCGATAATCGTTTACATTAATTGTAGCCACAGAAAGAGCCATGATATATTAAAAACATTATGATATTTTTGCTTATTTAACAGTAAAAAAAATTTTCAAATTCAGAAGATATCAAATATTATACATAAAATATCTAAAATAATTTTAATTAGGCCAAGTTTTTAAGCACAAATTTGTTTAAATATCATTATTACTTATTTTATCATTTTGAAATCGATGCACATTCGCATATTTGAATTTTAAATAAAAGTCAATAAAAAGAAGACATTTAATGTTTTGAATGTAAGTATTAAATGTTCTTATAAACCAATACAAAGTGAGTCGCAAAAAATGTTAGCGTGAATGAGAAAATGTTAAAATGCGTTGAAACCATAACACTAAGGGGTACACTTTCAGAAATATAATTTACATAATATACTCTAGTGTTGAAATGTTAATGGTTTTTATGTAATTTAAAACTTCGGTTGAAAACCTACAAAAATGTTGAATTCCAAAAATATTTATGTAATTTCGCTAAGTATCAAAACTTTTGTTTTATTCAAAGTAAAAGCAAATTCTGAAATATGAGAATTCAATAGAAAATCAGAAAACAATTTGATGAGAATTAATTTTCTACGAACACTCACAAGAAGTTGAATTTCAGTTTGAAAACTATAAAATCTAGTTAACCCGTCGCGTGTTTCTGCGATTTGCCACCTATTGTAGATAGTTGTCATAAATCAGAAACCTTAGCGCGAGCGTACTCACAAACTTCCTAAAGTTTCACGGAGATAGGGAGAATGGTGTAGTAATACATAAAGAATAGGCACACATTCGTTTATTTATATATATACATACATATAGATTATATTATATACTATTGCGTTATCATTTTACACAAAACAGTTTGAATTTTTTATAAAATTTTGTTAAAAAATGATTAAAAGTGAGAACGTTTTTTTTATACGTTTATAATACAAAATTTATAAGAACTTGCAATAATATACGACAAAACTATTTTACCGAAACATAGAAACCTATTAATTCATAAAATGTCAGCAAATACTGTATTATTAAAACCACCCCGCAAACTAAAATGGAAATGGTATAGAATTAATCTGAATAACTAACAAATAAAATATACTAGTTAAAGTTTTATTCAATAATTCATCTACTCATAATTTTAAATGATGTCAATTTGACAATGTTTAATGCATTATTTATTACTATTTGTCTTGAAAAATAAAAATATTAGTTTTTTTTTAATTTTCTGGGTAGATTAAAATTAACGCGTAATTGAATAACCGTATTGTTGAGGTATTTATTTTACTGGCGGTTTACCCAAAAATTCTATAGATTTAACGTCATAAGGTGTAAATTAATCGTACTTTACCGAAAACTGATGTTTATAGTAAGGAATAGCTATAAATAATTGGTAATTTGAACCTTTTGATAATATCGTCGTATTTAAACGACCGTAAAATAGATGAAAACGTTTCAGCGGTCCATTTGACTCGCCGCTGATGTTCCAAGTGGTGTTGTTGACCGCCATTAAACTTTCTCACCGATAGCCATTGTAAACCATAAGTACTTTCATGACCGTCATCCCATTTTACGTAAAGTTCGTCACCTTCATTGTTACTAGAAACCTGAAAATTGAAAACCAAAATACATTCCTATATTTCAACATGAAAAATAATTTATTATTTAACAATATAAAAAGAAACTACTTCTACTGCGTGTCAGTTGTTAGTGTTCTAATCATACTTGAATATTGTCAATATTGATCTATAATTTATTAGCAAGACCATATGAAATAATAACGTCTTCCTCATGTTTAGAGGTACAGGTGTTTTCCTGCTCTGCCGGTAAATTTATAATTATTTGAAAATTATTCAAGTCAACACATTAATAATTGGTATTGCATTAATAAATCGAAAACTAATGTGTATTTTACTACAATTATTATTATTATTTTTTGGTGATATTCAATCAATTTTGGATTGGTCAATTTTTATTTCGAGACGTTTAAAAAATATTACAAAGGGGAAAGATGTCCAATTGATTATTTAATTATCACATTTCAATATTTTCCCCTAAACACATACCTATAAGGATTGTTTGTATAAAAATGAACAATGAAAAATTGTATATAAATTGAAAACTTAGTGTTAAAGATGTTAGGGTCATTGTTTGATAGTGTCTGTAACATGGTAGGTGACTAATATTTAATTCATCTCGTATATAAAACAACAATACTTCAATATTATGGTTTAATTTAATACATTTTTAACGTAAAAAATACTTGTCCAAAAATTACTCTTGACCTCTTTCATGAATAAAAGATTCATAATGCTCTTGATTTATGTTCAAGGCGTGGTGTACTACGTGTACTAGAGTTATTGCAACTACAGTAAGCAAGTCATGTTGTAATATAATATATCTAAATGTCAAGTATTATACTAGTGCGTACGTTGTATGTGTTTAAATAAAGTTAGTTAATGTAAATGACAATTTATGGGTCACAAATTATGACCTATAATTGTTTTTTTTTTTTTGAGAAAATGTATTTCTGTAGTGCAGAAAAGATATTGCAATATTGAATTTTCAGAAATGTATAGATTAAATTACTCGAAAATAATTATTCCGTGAAACCATTTACTTGAATAGTTAGTGGTTTTTTTTCGGAAATAACGAATAGCAAAACAATGTTATCAATTTTTCATTTAGGTACTGGTAACTTAATGATAACTAGTAATTATTTTAATAAAAAATTCATTAATTTAACATTATTAGCTTCGATGCGAAGCTGAGAAGGTATTAGTTTTACTATGATGTGTTTTTTTTTTTTGTGCCTGTTACCACTTTTTCTCAGCTCTCACCGAACAGATTTCTTTCAACGATACGTCAAAAGATCACAAATCGTATCTAGTCGAAAACATTACCCTCAAAAATTGAAAAAAATTCCCTCGTTCCCCGTAAATGGGTGAAACCTTCAAAAAAATCACAAATTTAAAAATCGCTAATTTTCGACATTTTTTCAATTTTTTTTACTAAAAACTGCCGTTACTTTTTCAAAAATGAACATATGAATATAATTTTTTTTTTTATAGATGCTTGATGTCTATACTTATCATTTGGTATATTTTTTTTGTAAATCTGACACTTAACCTGCCCACAGGGAGGGATTTAAAATGACAACTTTTTCACGAAAAATTAACTTTTTCAACTTAACTATTGAAAATGTTCCGGAAGGTCTGACACTTTTATATATATCTTAAATTAAAGCTAATGTAATGTACATTATTATGAAAAAAATTTGACCTCTGAACTTGTCTTCGTGGTGAAAATGGCTACCGAATGCTATTTTTGTGTGAAAATTCTTGATTTTATTTTTTACATTTTTTACTTTATAATGCTATAACTTATTGAAAAGTGTATGAATCAACACAATTTTTTTATGAGAAATAATATTTTTTAATAATCCCTTTTTCATTCAGGATATTAATAAGAAAATAGCAGATCATGTAGCTTTTGGAATAATCTACCATTTTTTTAAAATTAAATACTATCTAAAGCGTTTTTTTTTTTATAGTGATTTTAATCACTATCAGATATCATTATACTTGATCGAACTATGCCACGTCACCACTGTGCCGCGACCCCCCTGTGCTGGTTTTTTTTATTCTTATATTTAAAATATTATTTAATTGGATTTGTTGTCTACTAGTTAATTTGCTACGCCATTAATTACATATATGTAATAATGAAAAACTTACAACAGTTAAATCCTAATAATATCTAACGGAAAAAATGTATTTAAAATTTTTTTTGGACATTTTATGGAGCATTACACTATAAAAAGTAATTTGCTTTCATATTTACGTAAGATATTAACGCCTATTTCTTATTTTTAACAGTAAATTTATAGAACATTTGAAATGTCGACAAGTTAAACCTAGACTAGTTTAAGAAAAATTGTCACTGAGTTTTTATTTAGATTTCTAAAAATATTTTTTTCGTCTACTTCAAAGTTTTTATGATAATTTCTTAAAACAATGAAAAAAGTAATTATAATCGCATTGTTTATCGTATAATTTTATATTTGCAAATCAATAATATGAAAATTAATTAATTAAACTCACTCGATAATCAACAGGTGTAGAGTGAAATTTCAGGTCTCTTATCACAAGTTTCCTGGCTCCAGACGTATTGGACGCACATTCCGGACACTGGCAGTTGTTTTTTAACCACACTAAAGGGTAGGCGGAACATAGCCCGTCCGCTATGCTTCGTAAACGGATTTCCGAGTTTTCGACGGATACTTCCATAAGAACGAGGGTTTTATTTATTTAGAGTTTCAGAAGTAATTCACTCCGCCACTGTACGAATAACTGATTGCGACAACGTTAACTATATTTTTGTGTAAATTGATCGCACACTGTTTGCACTGAAAACGTTTGACGATAGCCCGTTGGTTGTCGGCAATAATTAATAATTTTTTTTTGACGCGGAGAGGCTATGCCAGGGAACTAACAGGCACGTGTAGACTATTACCAGTGCAGTCCGACTGTTTTAAGTAGGCTATTCATACGTAGGCACGTCCGAGTAAAAAAAATGTCGCTTTCGTGGTTAGCATACGAAACAAGTGGCTATTATTGATTACTCTAATGTATTTCTACGATAATGTATTAGAATGTTATTGCTATTATTTCGGGATTAAGTACCTACGTAGGTGTCTGATAATCGGCAACGTCGAGTTAGCGATTTGTGTGGTGTGGGAACATGTCGACCACGTAGGTCATGACCCTTAATCTTCCGTTAAATTGCATAATAGTAATAGTATTATGTAAATGTTTGTTCAATCGATTTACTTTTAGCTGTCAAGGTCACTGATGGTCTTAAGTATCAATATAATTTATGTCATCAATTTAGATTAAATTTAATCCAAAACACTAAATACTCTTAAATAAATGTATAATTACAATTATAAACATTTTTGAACCAATAAACTTATTTATTTTTTTAATTACTTTTCAAGTTATAAGTGGGAAAAGTTATTAATCCGATAATAATATTCAAAATATTACAACTTAATATTAATTAAAGATAACGATTAAAAATGTTGTTTCTTTCTCAATAACTAAAAATCAATTCATTTTTATTTCATACGTCCAATTATAATGCAAAACAATTCGTGCAACATTAGACAACTTAAATATTGAAGTAAAATTAAATTAAAGCAAACGTTTAGTATTTTTCAAATTTGTTTTAGAATGACGTTAATAAAACAATGACACGCGATGACATATTTCTGTGGGGGAGAGCAAAATATTTTTTTAAATATTTAGTTTTACTATCCGGTCAACAGATTCAGTTTTGTGAGAGGGGCACTGAGGTATTTGACTAAGAAACTGCTATTTGAAGGCTTCACCATTGGCGCAACGAATTAGCTCCTTAAAAAATTTAAAATATTATGTGTGTTACTATGTATATACAATTTATATTATACATGTGTAGTGTTTTTTAGAGTAGGGAGTAATTACAATTAGCGTCTTCAAAAATTTCATTCTAATAGAGCCATAAGTGCTAATAAAAAAAAAAAATTATAAATAAAATATGTTTTGGTAGTTTTATGTATTATTTATATAATTAAATCTCTATAAATTGTATAAATAAAACCAAACTTACATGTTATTCACATATAAACATAATGCTCCTAATCCTCTAGAATTTCTAGTAAAATTTATTAAAAATATATTTTTTATCTTTTAATTAAACAAATTTAATTTTGCAAAATTTCAGGATACACAAGGATTATAAAAATTTATCTAGCCGAAATTGAGTAAGTATGTATTATTAAGAGATCTACGCCAATACTTTTTGAATTATGACTTGGTCAAAATAAATTTCAAAAATGTCTGTAACTATGTAGAAATTTATAGAGATCGTATTGTGTTGGTTTAATGTGTTCCGACGCTGACGCCATTAAAAGGTACGGTACAATATTCACGAAGACAAAAATCCATTATAAGAAATATCTTCGTAAGTTCCTCGGCCTTGTCTGACAATGTAATATTCTTTACTTAAATCTATCAAATTAAAATAAAGATATAGCTTTGGGATAGCTACCTATTATGTATTGGCTTACAAAAATATTCTAACCTACACGTAATAAATTCCCATACGTCAGTATGGCATTTATAATATATACGTTCATTTTATACATAAGTAATGTAATTTTAGCAACTAAATATTAAAAATTTGTACACAAATATATCACTTAAATCACTATTTATCAAAAATTTCCCTGTATTGCTACGTTTAAAATTTAAATACATGTATATAAAATATCGAAATTTTTTTTTAATAGTGTAATATTCTACAACCTAATTCAAGAATTATATTAAGTTGTAACCTGTACTTTTAACTGTCGGCGTGATGACTCTTGGAATAAGGTTATAGTATAAGATATTCAATAAAAAAACTCTAGTCACTCGTTTTTCTTACATAAATAATTATTATGTTGATAAAATTATTTTTAGTATTTTTTAGTTCCACGTATTTCTCAAATTATCAGTATTATGAATCAGTATTAATCTCAATCTTAAAATGGTTTCAGTTTTATTTATTTTTGTTGCAACATACAAATTTAACTAGATCACAAAATAAAAATCATCTAATTAAGAAAATAACTAGTCGATAATAACTTTCAACCTATTATTTCGAAAGTTATTACCATTTGAGACTGGAGATGCGGCACAGATCTGTCAATATTTATTGCAATTTACTATGATTATATTTATACATGTATTTATCGGAGGCGCATCTCTCCTTCCATATGAATACAAAAATAGTAATAACTTTTTAAGTACTAGTTCAAAAGGCGACTAGCAATTTTTTTGATTAGATTATTTTTATTTTGTAATCTAGTTAAATATGTATGTTGTCATTAAAAAAAATAAAGTCGACATGTTTAATAGATATAAGGCATGTATTAAAAAAATTACTGAATAATTGAGAAATATACTAAACTAAAAAATACCAAAAATAATTTTCTTGACAAATATTTTTTTAAGAGAAATTGAGTAGCTAACGTTAAAAATACCTCTGTATAATCTTTACTACAAGGATATTAATATAATTTGTCTAGTGAAACGTATTATCAGTATATCACTTTCATAACTACTTTTACTGTTTAAAAATATAAGATCAAAGACCATTTTTAATATAAATCTATCTAATAATGTTTCAGTATAAGAAAAATTGTTTTTCAACCGTCGAAATGAAATATTACTTTGTTCTATTATTATTACATTACCCTATTCTACTTTAAATTTCAATCTATTATCTATAAATATTTTATGAAATAAAATGATATATCATCAAGTATTGTTTTTGTTCTTATGAATTGTTTACAATTAAGGAAGCTTACTAAGTTCAGTGAGAATTGCGTCGTGTCTCGGTGGGTAGGTACGAGAGTTCGATACCTTTTCACTGGACTATGTATATTTTCCCGTCCTCTGTAACACATGCATAGTTTTTCAGAGAAGACATTAAAGATAAAAAAAAAATAGAGTAATAATCACTTCTGGACAAATACTTTGGAAGTTATTAGCAGTTTAAAATATAAACTGGAGGTTTATCAAAAAAATATTGAAGTTTATTGGCAGAAGATCTTTAGTTAAATAAAATGATTGATATTGTTACATTTTTGATCTACCAAAATCAAGATCAACTATTTGTTATCTTAATACTGCCGTAACTTTTTCAAAAATGAACATATGAATATAATTTTTTTTTTATAGATGCTTGATGTCTATACTTATCATTTGGTATATTTTTTTTGTAAATCTGTCACTTAACCTGCCCACAGGGGGGGATTTAAAATGACAACTTTTTCACAACAAATTTACTTTTTCAACATATGATATATGTTGAATATAACGGAAAATGTTCCGGTAGGTCTGACACTTTTATATATATCTTAAATTAAAGCTAATGTAATATACTTTAATTTGAAAAAAAAAATTTGACCTCTGGACTTGTCTTCACGGCGAAAATGGCTACCGAATGCTATTTTCGTATGAAAATTCTCGATTTTATTATTTATATTATATTTAACTTTATAATGCTATAACTTATTGAAAAGTTTATGGATCCACACAATTTTTTTATGAGAAATAATATTTTTTAATAAACCCTTTTTCATTCGAAATACTTTATCTTAATTGAGATATTAATAAGGAACCAGCAGATCAAGTAGCTTTTGGAATAAAACACTAATTTTTTTAAAATTAAACACTATCTAAAGATTTGCATCGAAGCGTTTATTTTTGATAGTGATTTTAATCACTGTCAGATATCATTATACTTGATCCAACTATGCCACGTCACCACTGTGACGCGACCCCCCTGTGCTGGGCTTTTATTGTACATTTTTAGTACATGAAAAAAAAATTTTTGTGTGGAAAAGGGTTAAACATTATATAGTTCGGAGAACCATACTATAATAAAATCAATCATCTTAGTTGGTAATTCTAACAAGTACGTTTAGTTAGAATAACTGAATCGTTTCGGTTGGAATTATGATAATACTTACCGTCGTGTTCGGTTAAAACAACTGCAAAATGTAGTTCATAATTATACAACATAGTGGTTAATAATGAATCAATAATTCAGGTATAAAATTAATGAAATCATCATAACGGAAAAATGGCGTTTGGCGATTATTATTATATTTAAATGGTATTATGATTTATCAAATTTAAACAATGTTAAAATTGTACTTATCGGTTATCAGGACAAATATATTTTAAGGGGTTAATAGGACTAATATAAAATATATTTATATAAGTTTAATTAATGTTTTTAGAATGATTTTAAAATAATTAAAGCAAGTTTTTTTTAATCAAGGTCTCGTAATTATGAATAATTACTGTACAATTAAAAAATATATATATTATTTAATATTCAAGACAAATCTGTGTTGTAAATTTCTGTAATGACTAAATACACTGATGATTAAAAGTACATAACTACAGGGGGACATTTTTTTTTATTATTTTCAAAAAAAAATTCATCAAAAGTGATGTTTACAATATAATTTATAGTTATATCAATTAAAAAATTGTTTTATTAACTATTATATAAAGTTTATAATTATAATAAATAGAATTATTTCAAATTTTATAAAAAAAAAACGCTTATTTTTTAAATTAAAAAACTATTTAACGACAAAAGATCAATAATTATTTTTGTAAGCAAATTTATTTAATTTGAGATTTGATAGATTTAATTCATTTTTAATTAAAATTAATAATGACTATTAATTTTTGTATTTTTTAAGTTTAAAAAAGGCGTACATTGAAAAATCAATAATTTGTTTAATGGAAACTTTACCACAAAAATTACTTCTTATTTTTTAATATGCCATGAAGTTTAGAAAAACGTTCTTTTTGTGTTTAAGATTTGCTGACTAAAATTTTAGTACCTTATTAATTTTATGAAAAATATATATAAATATATTTTGTTCATGTTAATCACAAAAAATATTTTCGTATGTAAGGTAGGTCAGTATTATAAAGAACAAGTTGTTTTTATGAAAAAATATGAAGGTTTTTATTTAATTTAAATTCTTCAAGATAGTTTAAGTTAATATAACAGAAATATTTAAAAATATAATAAAGTGAAGTTTGAAGCTTACAATCATGATTCTTCTTTTCCGTGAAAACAATTAAACCAGCTAAAAAGTAATGTTAAAAAGTAAAGTTTCATTAGTTACATATTTTTTATTTTTATGATTTATAGTATTTTTATTTTGCTTACAGAAGTGTAGAAAATTTAGTGAGATTATCTGCGGAGAAGAGTGTATGGAGTGTAGACTCCCCACGAGTATGAAGGATAAGAGTAGATAGATGGATAGACGACTGGAGCGGTTGGATAAGTGTAGATGATTTGAGAAGAAACGACGGCGATAAGAGCCAAGGCGGCAACAACCAACAACTAGAGAAATAATATCGCATTTAATTAAATTAAAAAAAAATGTGCTTTAAAATTTATGACTTACCATTAACTTGTACATGATGTAATTGATTTTGGAATCGTTCGTTTGAACTGAGAGAATAAGTACTTGTAAGGCGTTGTGATGACTTCGGATCACTGATAGCTGAAATTAATGTAAATAGTGGTATTTATACTTTTTCAATAAAAATGGGACAATTTCAGCGTTTCATTGATGAATATAAAATAAGGAGATGTTTCAGACGTATTCAATAAATTTATTATTAATGTTATTTGTTTACATTATTATTCTACTACATAAAAATATTTGATAAACTATGGATATCAAACCAGTTTACGTGTGATTAAAGTTATATAAAGTATAAAAACTGTATAATTTAAATCAAGTGTCGCCACAATTATAGCTGAACTTCATTTTATAATCCGTAAGTTGTAATAATATCACTAGAAAACCTTGACCGCTAGACAATTTTTAAGTTAAGTAGATTAAACTAAAATGATATCCTTGACATTTAGCACTTGAAAATAGTGTACAAAATTGTTTGTTTATATATTTTTGGGTATTTTTAGTGATATTTCTTGGAAACTTGATCGAAACAACTTAATTATATAATCATGACTGCAAAGAAAATTATTAAATATGCTTTATGACTATACGTTGCCTACTAAACATTTATTTTTTTATAATCGAGTTAGATATTTTTCAATTATTAATACAGTTGTACTTATTATGAATAACTTTTTCTGAAGATCTTCTGACTGTCAAAAAAAACATCATTTTATTATTACCAAAATATTATTCGTTAAAACGCAATTAAGGTGTCGTATATAAATAGATACTTTAATCTTGTTAATCTAAGTTAATCTAAGTTAAATATTAAAAAATAATTAACATAATCTAGTTTGAATATTTATATTTGATGTTAAAAGAGGTTGTATTTTAATATAATATCTAATTGAATACAAGTGTAAAAATCTTGTTAAATCATTGTTAAATAGAGGCGATCCATAATAGCTGGGATAGAGACTAAGGATATGATAATAATATAATTAAATCAAATAATAAATTATTAGTCTTATTCTCTCCATAATTTTATAGATATACGTTTAAAATTAAATCTTGTAATGTCGTCTAATGCCTACCTAAAATTATAAAATTATTACGAGTGTCTTAATTCATATAAAGGAAAAATATAAATTACCTACATTTTTGTCAACATAAAAATAATAATGTAAAAATAAAATGCATTTTATTTCTTATGGTTTAATTTTCATAGTTTGTTATTTCGAAATAAAATAAAAGTAAAATAATAAACTAGTTCACTTCAATAAATATGTTTGACCGTTATATTGTGAATTTCATTCACAATAATAATAATTTTATACATAACAAATAATTAATTCTATGTTTAAATTTGTTTACATAAAAAAAAAGATTGGCTCTGTTTGCTGAACGAGCCATCAGTTTAGTGATTGGAGTTATCATACCTCACTCTTACATTGTACTAAACCCCATTTCGGAGTATACATCATCAAGAAACTTTCTTCTAGAGGATCAATGTTTAGCTTATTAACAGATCACATGATTATTAATAATGATATATCAAACAAATAGTTATTCAACCAAGCCGGTAAATAGAATAACAGATTCAATAAGTTTGGAGATTAGGAACCTAAAATCATAGGTAAAAGATCATAGATCAAAGTTTATAGGTCATAAACTCAACCTAACAATAAATTTCGTAAAATCAGTTAAAAACCACTTAAATAATATAGTAACTCAAAATAAAGCTAATAACTTGGGGGGTATGTGTAATGTGAGTAGGTGTTGACCAAAGTTCGGATGTTTGGGGATTTGGTCAATTTGTGAGCGACAAGGTTCTATCAAGGGTTTTGAACAATAAAGACAAGTAGATATAAAAGAGATAAATGTAGACCTTCTTTGTTGAGAAATAAAAACTAATTAATTAATTAATTAAGCACCTTTAATAGGACATTGAGGCAACGAGGCGGTAATCCGACCCACGAATACCCACTCAAAGTGTCTATTAATACAGGCAGATACACATTACGTTTTTTACACTCTTTCAGGCACGGGGCGGTAATTCGACCCACGAGACCCTGTAATGTATATATGTATTAAGTGCGAACAAATTAGTATAATTACTAAAGAGAGTATTGATCTATTGCTTTATCGTTCTTCACTCAGATTATTAATTCTAAATAATTGAGATAATATAAATTGAATCGGTCATTTTGAAAAGGCCATTTCTCCACATTTTTTCAAAACTACTTTTATGTGATAGATGTATTTATCTAATAATAATAATGCATATATCCTGCGAGACCGTCATATCTCCAACAACTCGTTATAGTCTAAAAATAACAAGTGCATTCAAAAAGCCCATTTCTCCAAAAATAACTTGATCAGCAATTTTATTTGTTAAGATTCTATTTTCATCTGGTTTATTGTCTATCTGTTGTCGATAACAGTTGATAATAACAATAATAATTATTGTTATTATCAAGAATATAAAATAATAATAAGTCAATATGAGTGAATTCGAATTAAGAATAAAGAAAAAATGAACTAAAAAGATGTGATGTTGAAGTTCATAAATAAAATTATTTAAAAGAATCCACAGTATATTTTGTAAGACTAATTATTTAATTTTATATTATATACAATAAATAATTGATCAGAGTCGCGATGTCATAATCAATGAAAATATACAATCCATTGGAAAAGGTCATATCTCAAACACGTTCATTCCCTCATAAAATAATCAAATAGGTATAAATAGTCAATATTACATCATAGTTGGTTTTTTATAAGAGAATTCGATAATTCAACCCATATTCAATTTTCATCTAAATTTATTTTGATCTTTAAAAACAGTTTTTTACGTTTCCTAAAAAATACAATTTTATGGAGATATGGCCTTTTATAAAAAACCGATTCAATTTTCTTATTTCGTATTTCGCAGCAATAAATTATAAGTCAGAGACAATTCGACAAGCTTCTCGATGTATAGAGGTATTAAATTAATATCCTATATTGTTCACAAATGGATCAATAAGATAAATTCTTTGTTCTAATTCCTTTCTTATAATAAAATTTAAATAATAAATCAAAACGAATTATTTTCGTATACATAAACAAAGTGCCCATAAAAAGACAGCCAAAAACAACACGGGATTGTGACTGAAAGTAGTTCCAGATTGGAATTCGACAGAAACGAACTAACTTCTGGAAGGATTTCAGTGCTTTTTTATAGTATGTGATAGTGGGGCACAATAATCTAGGGATATTGTTGTCAGCGCTTTTAGTGATCTTTATTATTTTAATGTTTTTAATTATACATTACATGATTATTATATTAAGATACCATAAATAACAATATAATAAATTTACATATATATATATATATATATATATATATGTAAACAATAGGTAGTTGTGTTGAACAGTGTACATTATGACAGATGAGTTATTTGTTTAATTACAAGTAATATACAACACAGATTATACATTTTTTATTGATAAATGTAAGATGCGTAATACAAATCATTGAATATATTACGACAATAAAAATAACAAACAAGTCTCAACATTTGTTTTTTGAGTGATTCAAGCTGAAAGTTATTTAATAAATTATCATATCTAAGACTATATATACAGATTGTCTTACTTACTGAACACTCTATATATTTTTAAATAATTCCCAAATGATTAGATTTTGGCCAGGGTATCACATTCACATATAGTATGAAATGAATCTGTTTTTTCTGTTACACACTTCCGGCACAGTGGTGATTCTGTTACCCCCACTGTGTAAAGATATTTATGCAGATGATCGAGTCAAAAGTACAGTTAAAGTGCTTATTTGATATGTCATGTTATTGTACTATATCATGACCGGGAGTCATGATAAACATTTTTGATTGTCTGGGTACTAAAAGGTAACACAATATTTCCCTGTGTTGTTCTTTAAACCAGTTTTTGGGTAGTGCTTTGAGGGATTGCTTTGTGAGTCATACCACTGATCTGATCCAAAACAAGTGTTTTCTGCACTTTTCCACGCTAGAAAGTCTGCTTTTTCATTATTATTCACATCGTTGTGTCCTGGTTTCCATCCTAGTGTAACTTAATTGAACCTTGCTAGTAATTCTAAAGTTTCCATGAATTCAAAGACTAGCCTTGAAGTCACTTGGTTATTACTAAGTGCCTTCAAAACGTCTTGAATATCACTTAGGATAGTTATGTTTCTTTTATAAAATACTATCAGGTCTTGGGCCACCTTAGTATTGTCATTGCATCTGCTTGGGACGCAGAAAGATTGTGCTACATAAGATGAGTAAATGATTTTCAAAACTTTTAAACTTGTAAACTCATTACAACATCGAATTATATTACAAAGCATATTTAAGGTTTTGTTTCTAATAAAATTTACGTCAACACTAAATAATAGAATAGGATCAAATAATATTCCAAGATCTTTATATGTGTGTATCAAAATTTAATTTTTAATCAATTTTGTTACTCCATTCCAGTAAGTTATTTATGTCCTATTGAAGTAATGTGCAGTCCTCATTTGGTTCTATTGTACAAAATAATTTTTATCTGCAAATAACAGCACTATTGAATTTTCTAATGATACACTACTTATTAAATAAAAAATGGAAATAGCATAGGTATTAAGTGATACTTGCAGCACACTTGAATACACAAAATAATAATTTGGATAAAAATGTTTAAATTTAACATATTGTTTGCGTTAGTAAAGTAGGTTTATATCCAAAATAATAACGGATGATCAATACCAATATGATTGGTATATGCATAAAATGCATAGGAATGTTCAGTTTGTACCGAATATATGTTTGAAAAATGTTGAGAAAATAAAATAACAATATGATTACTTAAACTAACATGTCCACGTTTGAATACATATCATTTGTTAAATTATCTATTTTGACTATAATTTCTAAAAAATTCCCAATATTTAGAGGGATTATAGCAAAAGAATTTTTAACGAACAATATATGATTTTTGTTATGTAATTTTGTTAAAGATTTACATTGGTCTCTTAAATTTGCAAAATGTTATAATATAATTACCACAATAACAATATGAGTTAAAAATGCTCTCTTGCTATATATTGACTTAATTAAAATCAAATTTCAATA